TGCACTCCAGCCTGGGTAACATGAGTGAAACTCCGTCTCAAAAAAAAAAAATAATAATAATAATAATAATTCTTTTTAAGAAAGAAACTATTTCTGCTCAGCTTGGATTCACCATAAATGCAATCTGTAAATGACATTGGTATCTGTAAATTCCACTTGTTGCACTCACTTTATTCTGTGCCTTAACTGAGAATTACAGAGTGCCCTGACCCACCCGACTGCAGGCAAGCTTGAACCCAAACTGGGCCTTGAACGTTCCCAGACACTGATAAAGGTATCTAGGTTGTTGTCCAAAACACTGAAAGAAAGTGGCCCTGGCCCTGGCCCTGACCAAATTCCTTCAACCCTCATGTAAACTCCATACCCTGGTGCACTGGTTTCTAAACTCGGTTGATAAAGAACAGCAAGATTTGAAAAGACTGACTCCAAATTTTCTTTTTTTGTACTTTAGGTTCTGGGGTACATGTGCAAATCATGCAGGATTGTTGCCTAGGTACATACATGGCAAGGTGGTTTGCTGCCTCCATCCCCCAATCACCTATATCTGGCATTTCTCCCCATGTTAACCCTCCCCAACCTCCCCACTCCCTGCTGTCCCTCCCTTAGCCCCCCAACAGACCCGAGTGTGTGATGCTCCCCTCCCTTTGCTCATGTGTTCTCATTGCTCAACACCCACCTATGAGCAAGAACATACGGTATTTGGTTTTCTGTTCTTGTGAAGACTGACTGCAATAATTTTGAAAGAAGTTCTGCTGTGGGTAAAATGCTATCAAACAGTACTGCATGCTACAAAGAAATATTTTGTGAAAGGAAGAGTTAACTGATGTGGCAAACTTCACTGTTGTCTTATTTTAAGAAATTGCCAGGCCGGGCGCAGTGGCACGCCTGTAATCCTAGGACTTTGGGAGGCTGAGGCAGGCAGATCACTTGAGGCCAGGAGTTTGAAACCAGCCTGGCCAACATGGTGAAACCTCGTCTCTACTAAAAATACAAAAATTAGCCGGGCATGATGGCACACACCTGTAATCTCAGCTACTCATGAGGCTGAGGCAGGAGAATCGCTTGAACCCCGGAGGCAGAGGTGGCAGTGAGCCAAGATCATGCCACTGCACTCAGCCTGGGTGACAGAGGGAGACTCAGCCTCAAAAAATAAAAAGAAAGAAAGAAAGAAAGAAAACAGAAAAAAAGAAAGAAATGGCCACAGCTACCTCATCCTTCAGCAACCACCACCCTGATCAGTCGGCAGCCATCAACATTGAAGCAGGACTTTTGATGCAGACATACCTAGGTAGAACACTTCTTTTTTCTCGCTGTATGTTGTGAGCATTGCCGCAGCACTCTAAGTAAGCTCCCCTAATAAATGCTTTGGACTGATCACTTTGGTATTTAGTGCTTCTTTCTTTAGAATCCCAACCAGCCCAATCGTAGGACAGTTTGGGGCACTCCTTTGTGTGAACTCCCTTACCACTACCTTTGGGGCAGCTCCAGCCACACACAGGTTCAGCAGCACAGAACAGAACCTCATCCAAAGTATAAATTTGCCACATTTAGGAAAGTTTCAGAATTTCTTTTTCTTTCTTTCTTTTTTTTTTTTTTGAGGCAGAGTCTCACCCTGTCGCCCAGACTGGAGTGCAGTTGGCACCATCTTGGCTCACTGTAACCTCCGCCTCTTGGGTTCAAGGGATTCTCCTGCCTCGGCCTCCCAAGTAGCTGGGATTACAGGTATCTGCCACCACAACCGGCTAATTTTTGTATTTTTAGTAGAGACAAGATTTTGCCATGTCAGCCAGGCTGGTCTCAAACTCCTGACCTCAGGTGATCTGCCCGCCTTGGCCTCCCAAAGTGCTGGGATTACAGGCATGAGCCACTGCGCCAGGCCCTTGTTGAGGCATTTTTATGATGGGTCCTTTATGCTTCTCAGATATAATCTGTGTATAGTTGACCCTTGAACAACACAGGGTTAAGGGCAACAACCCCTCACACAGTCAAAAATCTGTGCATAACTTTTGACTCCCCCAAAACTTAACATATATGTATGTGTTTTGTATGTGTATTATATAGAGTATTCTTACAATAAACTAAGCTAGAGGAAAGAAAATGTTATTAAGAAAATCATAAGAGAAAATGCATTTACTATTTATTGAGTGGAAGTGGATCATCATAAAGGTTTGCATTCTCTTTATCTTCACTTTGAGTAGACTGAGGAAGAGGACAGGCTGATTTTGCTGTCTCAGACGTGGCAGAGGCAGAAGAAAATCCACTTACAAGTGAACCTGCACAGTTCAAACCCATGTTCAAGGGTCAGCTGTATCTTGGTGTTCACATCTATTGATTGTCTTTCCTCATTCAATTTGAGATCTTTCTGATCCTTGGTATGATAAGCAATTTTTAATTGAAACCTAGATATTTGGGGTATTATATGATTCTGGAATTCAGCAAAATCTTCTGTTTGAGTTGAACTCCTTTGAGCAGAGTCTGGCAGGAAGAGGCGTGGTGCTACCTCATTAATGCCAGTGATCCACCTGCCTCAGTCTCTCAAAGTGCTGGGATTACAGGCATGAGCCACTGCATCTGGCCGTGTGTGTTTTATATATATCTAGAGCTCTTGGTTACACTTAGTGGGCAAAATAGGAAAAAGGATGTCTACTCCATCTTCTCAGAAGTGGAAGCTTCTGAGGCTCTCGATGCGGTGTTGGGATTAGACTATAGGGAAGTGATGGAGGAAACAGTAAGACAGGTTAGGAGATTGTTGTGATTTTCCAAGTGAGAGGTGACAATTGTTCTCACCAAGGTAGTAGCAGCAAAGATGGTGACAAGATGTCAGATTCAGTAGGTATTTTTAGGTAAATCCAACGGGATCTTGGGGCCCCAAAATCACTAAAGCTAAAGGGGAAAGTCAAGCTGGGAACTGCTTAGGGTAAATCTGCCTCCCATTCTATTCAAAGTCACCCTTCTGCTCACTGAGGTGGATGTATATCTGATTGTCTCCTTTGGAGAGACTAATCAGAAACTCAAAAGAATGCTACCATTGGTCTCTTATCTACCTACAACCTGGAAGGCCCCTTCACGACCTTTGAGTCGTCCCACCTTTCCAGACCGAACCAGTATTCATCTTACATGCGTTGATTGATGTCTAACGGCTCCCTAAAATGTATAAAAACAAACTGTGTTCTGACCACCTTGGGCAGATGTCATCAGGACTTCCTGAGGCTGTGTCACAGTCACATGTCCTCAACCTTCTGAATTAACTGAGACCCGTCTCAGATTTTTGGGGTTCACAGCTTACAGCTTGGATATGAAGTGTGAGAAAGGGATGAATTAAGGATTCCCAAGGTTTTCGGCTTGCACAACTGGAGGATGAAGTTGCCATCTACTAATATGAGGGAGGCTGACAGAAAATCAGGTTTGGGAACAGATCATTAAGAGTTAAGTTTTGGACACATTTCCAAGTGAAAATATGGAGTAGGCAATCGTATATTACATCCCCCCACCTTCCCCTATTTGTTCCTTCTGCAACTACAACTACTCATTTGTGAAATCATCTCATTCTGTCAGAGGCGTGTGAATCAGAGCAATTCCATCTTAAATAGGAGATGGGTAAAATGAGGCTGAAACTTACTGGGCTGCATTCACAGACAGTGAAGGCATTTTAAGTCACAGGATGAGAAAGGAGGTCAGCACAAAATACAGGTCGTAAAGACCTTGCTGATAAAACAGGTTGCAGTTAAGGAGCTGGTCTAAACCCACCAAAACCAAAATGGCAACGAGAGTGACCTCTGTTCATCCTCACTGCTACACTCCCACCAGCGCCATGACAGTTTACAAATGCCATGTCAATGTCAGGAAGTTACCGTATATGGTCTAAAAAGGGGAGGCGTGATAATCCACCCCTTCTTTAGCACATCATCAAGAAATAATCATAGACCAGACATGATGGCTCATGTCTGTAATCCCAGCACTTTGGGAGACCAAGGTGGGTGGATCACCTGAGGTCAGGAGTTCGAGACCAGTCTGGCCAACATGGTGAAACCCCATCTCTACAAGAAATACAAAAATTAGCCGGGTGTGGTGGCGGGCGCCTATAGTCCCCACTACTTGGGAAGCTGAGGCAGAGGAATCACTTGAACCCGGGAGGTGGAGATTGCAGTGAGTCATGGGATCATACCACTGCACTCCAGCCTGGGCGAAAGAGTGAGACTCCGTCTCAAAAACAAAAATCTTCCAGCTAAACATTAACATTGGGTAAATATGTCCATAAGGTTTTATTAAAAATTGGGTTTAACATTAATAGTACATTAATGTAAAGGTGAAATTTGGCTTATTTGGCATAAAAATCATACAGGAAGCATTATCAAATGTGAAATGGTGTTTTGCTTTCTTTGGACTATATTTGCATAAATGTATTATTGGTATATGTTCCAAAGTTATGGAAATCTCCTATAATTCTAACACGACTTAGTGTATGTTATTAATAATTATAATTGTTATGTAAAATTATGTGTGCCAGAGAAGTAACCAAATTTCCTTATCAATTGTGGCTTTAGTAGTGGCTGTCCTAAAACTTTTTATCATCCACAGACAATTGTTGTCTTGTTTTAGTCCTCTTTAGAAGGTGGTTTATAATCAACTATAGGCCTCTAGCAGGTGTTCTTAAATGCAGGTTTTCGGATAACTTTGGAGATTGTGACATCAGAATAAAGGAAAAATCTTTCAGAACTCTCATAGAGAATTGAAATGTTCATAACTATCAAACAGAAGTTAATTACATGGAATAAACTAAAGAAGTTTAATCTTTTTAACTTTGCTTAAAACATTGCTGATCCTTTGTTTTGTTCAGACAAGGGAACTTTTCAGATTTAAGGAGACTTTTGAGCTACTTCCAGCTTGTAGCAATTGAGTAAAGTATAGTGCTGTGAACAAAATTTGGAAAATAATTGTTTCTCTCTACCTGATTTCTCCAGAATTTGGAAACTAGTTGAGTATTTTTAACTTATGGCAATATAGTTATTTGCATAGTGCAATAAGAATCTGTTTTCTTTTGTAATGGGACACAACTGGAGAAATTGGTTATTTTACCAAGGCTTTGACTGGAATGGTGTGCTTTCCTGTAAGGAATCAAATTTGACTTATAAAGCCAATAAAAGCCTTTTGAGGAACCGGCCTCATACCTTACCTACACAGTCCCTTGACAGGGTTTGTGACCTATGAATAGTAAAGAATGTCACTTTCTCACAGGTCCAGGAGCCCAAGTTATCTTGGGACCTCAAAAGGACAGCAATTTACCCAACTCATAGGTATTTGAGGGTACAAACCCATGGCAGGGCTCAGCTTTAAAAAAGTCTTATCTGCCAAGCACAGTGGCTCAAGCCTGTAATCCCAGCATTTTGCAAGGCTGAGGCGGGCTGATCACAAGGTCAAGAGTTTGAGACCAGCCTGGCCAATATGGGGAAATCCCGTCTCTACTAAAAATACAAAAATTAGCTGGGCGTGGTAGCTGGCACCTGTAGTCCCAGCTACTCAGGAGGCTGAGGCAGGAGAATCGCTTGAA